ACCGTTGTTAACCAGAAGAATTCTCATTCATTAGTATCAGGTTGGTTGCAGCCTTAAAGAATGCTTCCCAATTAATCAAATAGGAACCTTGTGCTGTTTTATAATTTAGCAACGCAGTTTTATGTCTTAGGCAGTTGTTTTTTTTAAATGGCAGTAATTCAAACACTGAAACATTGCTCAGTAACCCCTTAATTTTGCTAATTGAAAATTATTATTTTATAACCTTCCATTATTATAACCACGCCATTATTCTTCACCATTAAACAGTATCACATTTAGTTTTTATTAAATAGTATCGCAGCAATATATCTATCTATTATTTGTAAATGATCAAATCTGTACAGTACAGCGACGGTTGCTCCAAATGAAAACTAACTCATTTGGAAGTGGCAACCCTAGCTGTACTGTACAGATTTGATAATTTTTAAAAAACTATAATGAAAAGGTTGTTGCATTCAAAAAATATTGTTTTAAAACGTCAAACTACAAAAATTAAAATAAAAGCTATTAGCATTCCTGGCACACGAATTCAAGTGTTTTGTGATAATTGATAATACATGAAATACACGACACTTTTCACATGGAACCCATTTGCTGCTTGTAGCTTCGTCCCAAAAGGCTTCCGCAGGAAATACAAAGACGATTGATATGGTAGGGATTACAGCTGGCGGCAGGAAGACCCTCAATATTTTGACTACTAGATATCTGTGCTGTTTTGTTATATCTTTGACACCATTTTTAGGGTTTTTTAAGTTTTAAAAGCTTTTTTTTTTTTTTTAACTTTTGTTCTTTGAGAATTGCTCAGACCAATTTTTTTTCATTAATAATTTTTCTGGCTTCTTTTTCGTCTAGTTTACTTTTTTTAGCAGCTTGTGTTGCTTCGTCCTTAGCCATTGCAGATAGTTCAGTCATGTTATAACTTGTTTTTCTTTTAATTAATGTTCCCTTTTCTTTACTACTGGAAAAAGGTTTTAATCTATCTCTAAGAACACTGAGTACTGATTTATTGATATCAAAAGATGATTGTTTTATGACATTTTTGATGCTATTTATTACTTTGTGCGATACTTCTTTTGCCGATTACTTAAACTTAAATAAGAATTTCTAACCAAGTAAACTTCTACAATTCGCTTCCATTCCGCCTTTACTGTTTTAAAAACTCTAACATCTAGTGGTTGCGAAAAATGACTTGTGTGAGTTGGCAATCGGAATAAAACCATGTTGTTTGATTCAGATAATCATTTTAATTTAAAAAATAATGAATGCCCGTCTAAAAATAGAATTTTAGATCCTTGAAGTTTGTTTGCGTGAACTAAAAAAATTGAACAAAACCATTCTATGAAATTTTCGCTTCCCATTCAACCTGATTTACTGGTAGAATAATAAACATCAGAAGCACCACCTTGAACCCAAGCTTTCATCAAATTTCGATCTTGTAAATGACTCGATGAGGTTGGAAGTTTCCAAAAACATCGCAAAAAGTTAAAATTGTATTCATATGTTTTTCATTTGTTGCGGCAAGTTGCTTTGGATTTTTTATTCTTTTTCGACAAATAATGTTGACTTTGAGTTGATCGAATTTTAGTCCACATTCATCACAGTTGAACACATGAAACGGCGGTGGAGGTGTATTTAATTCACGGGTGATTAAAACTTTGATTTATTTTAGCCGTTTAGGTATACCACTCACACCCAGACCCCGTGAATCAAACACACCTCCGCCGAAACGGCTTTTCATTTAAATTATGCTTTCGATAAACAGCCTTAACATGGGTAAACCATTCATCAACAATTGCTGGTTGCGAAGGCACCACTCTTACAGCTTGCATGCAAGTAGTCTTTCTTTCACAGATATTTTTCGCATATTTTTTCATGAAACTATTGTACCACTTTCGAGTAGATTTACCGGTCTTGAATAAATAAGTTTGTTTAGATTCCTTCGAATAGTTCTCAACCACAGTTAAAATATCATTTATTTTGAAGCTGAAGCCAATATTGGCTTAAAAATAAATGATATTTTAACTGAATCTAAACAAACTTATCACTGAATATGACTATTAGGGCCACCGAGAGCTGTCACGCCGCCTGGGACAGCAATCCTGATTGGTGCCCTTATTTATCAAATTTTCCGTATATTATATATGAAAGACATTATTTTTTTTAGATACCTACACTGCATTTGGCGCCCCTCGGATATCTGCCGCCTGGGGCAAACTGTCCCTCGCGACCCTCCCCCCTTCCTCTCGGCGGCACTGATTTTTATTAATAGCCTCAATACAGAGTTTAATTTTTCTTTCGCGTTCTTTATTTTCTTAAACTTTGGCTTTTTTTTTATTAACAAACGTTAAGTTAAACATGACGTATAGAAATTCAATAAAAAAGTTAAAAGCGTTTGTTAGTTTCTAAGTTAATGTCGTTAAAATACTATTGTTAAATATTGATGTTAATTACTTGTACGCAAAAACGCCAACTTTTGCACACAAAAAATGCATTTCAAAATCTGTGTTGAATTTGGGAAACGTTTTAAATATGCCGAAAATTACTATTTTTAAAATATCTCACGAAGTATCGCTAATTTTTGACTTTTTTTCAGATAATCATCATCAAATTCTACATCAAACAGTACTCAATTTAAATTGTCTTTTTTTTTTTTAAAGTTGGTTTTATATTGTTGGTTTTTCAGGGTTTTAAAAAGTCTTTTGCTTGTAATTAAAAAGTTTTATGGTATCAATATATATTTTGAAAATATTTTTTCATATTCTCATTCCCTTTATTCTTATAGTCTTCCTATAGTCTTCCAATTTATTAATCAGTTTTCCTTTTAAAAATTCCACAAGTGAGCTAAAGCTGTTCAAAATTAGGGACTGTTCGGAATTAGGGAAATCTACGGTATTGTTTACAAATTTTAAACTTCCATCTTTTATTTGCAATTATTCAATTGCTTATCACGTTTTGAAACAATATCATTGGATAATTTTTGTTAAAAGTGGAATATGTTTGGTTAACTTTAAACTATGATAATTACGCGGTGTTTAATAGAAAATTACAACTAAGACAGTTTTTTTTTTAACTTTGTTCACCCTCCAGTCTATTATACCTCTTTGATCTAACATATTATAGAAACTTACTTAAACTCACAGTTGGTGTGAAAACAGTTGGTATGGAAACGACTCTATTAGTCGATAATGTTCTGCAAAATTCTATCTTTTTTTACTGCAAATGAAAACTAACTGCAAATTTAAGATCAAATTGCTACTACCCAGTGGGCATGAGATCTAAAACAACGTTTTTTGAACAATAAAAGATGTTCACAACGTTTAAAAACCGTCTAAAACTTGTCTGTTAAATATTTTTACCGCCCATGTCCACTGGGTAGGTTGAGTTTTTAAGTGAGGTGTAGCTGATCGTAATTGCTCAGTGTGAAGCTAACTAATCGTTAAAATTACAGCAATTTTGTTTATTAAAAAAACTAATGATATAAGAATTATAGTATTAAAATGTGGAATTAGAAGATAGTAGTTAAGAGTAGTTTTAGTAATATTAGAGAGCTTTTAGAATCTCCCTTGGAAATCTAATTTCTGGAGGTGATTCTAAATAAAAAAGAAAAGCTTTAAATAAACATGTTAAATAGTAAATAAGCTTTTTTTGTAGTCTTGTGAGTGAAGGGACAGTCTATATAAAAAATATATATTAGACAATTAGAAATCAAATTATTGTAAAATAAAATTGAATGAAATGTTAGATATAATGTGCTGCAAATTAAAAAAAAAATTTACACAATTAGAATTTTCTTAAACATTAGTTGACTTGGCTACAAGAAAACTAATCTTTTGCCTACTGTGCGATATTTTGGCATTAAAACAAGTTTATTTTGGAATTGTAATAAATCAAATTTATTTATCAAAGTGTTTTTATTCTAACAATATAAAATAAAGATAAAATTTTATAAATGAGTTAATACAAAGGGATTAGAGATAACACAATGTACACAATATCAACTTTTTGTTTTCCGCATTTTTATTACACTGAGTATGCGTAAGTTTATTTATAATAGCGAAAGCAGCTATTATTATTTGCAATTTATTTATAGTTGATACATATACATTCAATAATATAAATAGTAAATAGCTTTATATCAGACTAGCGTAAATAGCTTTATACCAGACTAATTGAAGTCAAAGGAAAAAAATATTGTAGAGAAAAATCATTCGGCTTATTTGAAGTTGTCGAGATTAATTATTCGACTAATTTAACAATGCCCTTAATAATTCATAATTTGCACAGACAATGTTTTGGTACCCAATTTTTAATTTTTTTTTTAAATGATGGTGTTTGGCATACTGTCTGAATCAAACTCCAAAATTCTAGACCGTTTCACGGTTGGTCGCTGTCGCTGGAAGCGAATTTGTCACTACTTATTTATTACCCCTATTTATATAGTAACCAAAACACTTAAAGAGTGTATAGTAATTGAACCATTTTTTATCATTAAAAGGAATTCAGTTGTCTTAATATACAATTTTAAGAAAACATCGACAATACAAAAAAGAGATGGATTAAACTTGATAAATATAAGTTTTGTTTGATTAAAAAACGTATAAAAAAAAAAAGTGTTTTAAAAGCGACTTGAAAGAGCTTTAAGTTTTTGGCTTGCTATTTTACATAAAGTATTTACATGCTTATAAAATTATACTTTATTATTAAACATAATCCCAAGTAATTTTTCAATTTCAAATAAAACTATGAGAACTTATTATATTATTATTGTTTTACTAATAATAATATAAAATTTTTCAGAATTGGCTTTCATACCCTTATTTTCAAACGATTTTATGGTTTCTTTATAAAGAAAATTGAAATTCAGCTTTTTGAATATCAAAATATCAAAGTAAGAGCAGTCTTCTGTTGCTAAGATATAATTAAATGATATAACAGAAATACGATTAAATGATTATTTAACCGTATTTTAGCAACAGCAGAAGTTTAATACTATTTTAAGCTGTAAAGGAAAGCTTTTTATAACTATATTCTAACTATTACAAAATAGTTTAATTTCAACGTAAATTTCAAAATTAGGATCTAAAATCTGAATAATACAACCAGCATCCGTTGCTTGTGAACAGGTGGTTACTAAATCGCAATCTAAACCAATCAAAGATTTTGCTAAGATCTTTTTTTAATCTATACTAATTCTCGCAAACGGTCAAGCTCTTCTATTAAATATTTGAACAAACCATTGACATCATTTTGGGCATCTGCTAATTTGATTTGCTGATACCAGATTAATTTGATCCGATTGATAGCAGTCTCCGTGGACTAGCATTTTAAAAAGAAACAAGATTTTTCACTGCAAAAGGATAGAAATTTTGGCAACGTATTGCTTTTGTTGACAGCCTTGATAATAAATACCCAATCGGCTCAGGACGTCCCTGGAAGTCTATAGGACGAACCGTTTAGATCCATTCGTCTAAGTCCAAAATGTTACGTCTTTGGTCGTCTAATGGACGTCCAAAAACGACCAAATTTTAAATAATACGTCCTCGGACGTCCATTAGACGTCCTCATCTAAAGGAGGTTTATTCTCTTCTCCGTGTTTTATTTTTACTCATGCGTGAATATAAATATTTTCAAAATGGTTAAAAAAAAATCACAGTTTAAGTTGTCAATTTTTATGCTATTCGATAACTATAGCTGTTTAGTTATAGTTATCAAATATTAACTTATAGTTCAACTATAAAGCTATATACTTTTATCTTAGATTAATAAATTTAATCAACAAATATGGACTATAAACGGTTTTCAAATAGGCAATATATTTTTCCTTCAAAAAGTTTATTTAGTGAGCTCATATCTAACTTAAAATTGAAATAATTAATAAATTCGACCTTCTTCATACTAAAAGTTTCTTTATTTTTCAATATAAATTTTGTATGCAATATGAACTTATTAAATACTTTATACTATAAATTGTATTTGTAGTTGTAATGTAGTTTTTAAATTAACAGAGATCTGCAATAAAAATTTAATAGAAAGTTATTTCTTTTATAATTTTTTATTTATTAGTTTCTGACACGTTTGATCTCGAGATTCTTCTTTGTAAACTGAATACTTATGAAATAAAAAATAACAACTTAAAATGGTTTCGTTGTTGCCTAAATAATCGGTAAAAAGATTTATCCTATATCAACACTGTAAAATTAATTGAAAGTATTACTTGTCGGGTCCCACAAGAACCAATTGGTCCATTTGTCTTGGTCATGGTACATTGTTATTTTTTGTTTATATTAATAATGTCCACTTATCTTCCAAGATACTTAACTTTGTTCTTTTTGCTGATGATACCCAAGTATTCTTTATCTAAACAAACATTAGCCTATTGTTTAATACTGTTAATCAAGAAGTTTTGAACGAGCAAGTTGTTTGATTTTACATGCAAATAAATACTCTAGTGCCAGACCATTACTGAGAGAAATCGAATTGCTTATTGTCTATAAAATGAATATTCTAAACATACTTAAAACTACATTTTATGTTTAAATTTAAAAACTTTAAGCTAATGAGCATTTTTCAAACTTACTTTTTTTTAAACCACAAACAACTAACTAAATACTTAATAAATAACTTTGTTATATCAAAAACTTTATTAAAACAAGCTGATTTTTCATTATTTTGCCGAGGCCCAAAATTATGGAACTTGCTTCCCAGTAAGCACAAAACGTTTTTAAAACGTTTAAAAAACTTATGAAAACGTTTTTTAACGTTTTTAAAACGTTTTAAAAACGATCTGTGCTAACTGGGTTATGTTATAAAAAGTTTAAATACAGCTCAACATTTTGAACGTGCAACAAAACAGTACTTTTTTAAATTTTATTCAAAGCAATTACTATCCTATTATAAAAAACTTTTGTTAATCTTAGTTATTGAAAGTTTTATATACTGACGCGACATCTTTACTTATTTTATATGGTTCTTAAAACTTGTTTGGGTATTATTTTATTTCATATAAAATAAAAACATAACGCATTAAATATTTTGACGTGAGCGGTAAGGCTTTATCATCCAGCCTCAATAATATAACTGAAAAATATAGCTGATAAAAATAAAAAAATTAAAGGAGAACTGTCTCAACAATCAATTTACTGTATGCAAAAAAAAAAAAAAAAACCAACTATTGTTATTTTTATTTTTTTTATAACTTTCTTTTTCATTATTATTATACTCACACAAACAAACACATTCACACACACTCACATACACACATACTAAATAAATCTGTATTAAGATATTAAATCTACAAATTACGTCAGTATAATAAAATAAAATAATACCCAAACAAGTTTTAAGAACCATATATATAAAATAATTAACATATTGAATCTACAAATTGCGTCAGTATAATAAAATAAAATAATACCCAAACAAGTTTTAAGAACCATATAAAATAATTAATATATTGAATCTAAAAATTGCGTCAGTATAATATTATACTGACAGAATTTGTATAATAAAATACTGACGCAATTTGTGTTAATTATTTTATATGGTTCTTAAAATTTGTTTGGGTATTATTTTATTTTATTATACTGACGCAATTTGTAGATTCAATATGTTAATTATTTTATATGGTTCTTAAAACTTGTTTGGGTATTATTTTGTTTTATTATACTGACGCAATTTGTAGATTCAATATGTTAATTATTTTATATGGTTATTAAAACTTGTTTCGGTATTATTTTGTTTTATTATACTGACGTAATTTGCAGATTCAAAATCTTAATACAGATTTATTTAGTGTGTGTGTGTGTGCGTGTGTGTGTGTGTGTGTGTGTGTGTGTGTGTGTGTGTGTGTGTGTGTGTGTGTGTGTGTGTGTGTGTGTGTGTGTGTGTTTATGTATAATAATAATGAAAAAGAAGTTATAAAAAAATAAAAATAACAATAGTTAGTTTTTTTTTTTTTGCATACAGTAAATTGATTGTTGAGACAGTTCTCCTTTAATTTTTTTATTTTTATCAGCTATATTTTTCAGTTATATTAATGAGACTAAATTATAAAGCCTTCCCGCTCCCGTCAAAATATTTTATGCGTTATGTTTTTATTTCTTAAAAATTGTAAAGCCTATTTTAAATGACGAAATAAATACAATTATGATACAATTGACTAGTACTTGTTGACTTTTAAAAGACAAACCACGTGAATATTGTCTTGTCTACGTTTTCGGAATTACTGGTACGAATTTTCTTCCATTTTGATTTTGTGCTATTTTTTTCCAACAAAATCAATAGTTTGTTTTTATTCTTATCTCAGGTTGATATTGTGTTTTTTGGGATAATATGATTTTGGACTACCTTTTTGTTAAACATACCTTTAGCCAGGTCTTTTAATGTCTTGTGTTTTTCTGCTATAGATCTTTTTGAGTCTTTTACTAACAAACAGCATGTTTTACGTTTAATAGAAACAAGCTTTTAAATTAATAAAAATGTTACTGAAATGTCATTAAAACTTTTGTTGAAAAATATTGTTAAAAAGTTCGAGATAACGAGAGAAAATTGGCCCGATAAACAAAAATATTTTTTGAGATACCAAAGATTTGAGGTTTCTATTTTATTTAGACCCATAAAATTAACTGGCACAAAACATTTCGTGAGAAAAAAAAAATGAAAATCGAATGCAAGTTGCTACTTTTTCTAATGATAACAACTATATACTTTTAGACCGTTTAATTACCAAATTAAATAAATATAGGAGCTACTTTTTGCAAAATTTAACTTTTTTATTTAAAAATAAGCCTCAAATTTTATTATGAATACCATGTTGAAACATTGGGTTAGATTCAATTTGATTTGTTTAGCTAGTAATTTGAAAATCACTAGATGATCACTCAGTAAAAAAACAATGTGAAGAAAAGTTGGCGATGTATTTTCATGTTCAGCGATATAATCTTTTATGTTACAAAATAAATTTAAATAATAAAAGTATATCTAGCAACATTGTAACTCCTTTGTAAATTTTCATCTAAACAAAATGGCCACCCCAATATAACGTTGAATGTCTCAAACTTTTAAATGATAAAGTTTTTATATATTTTTCACATAATTTTTTTTTTTTTTTTTTAATGTATTTATGTTTTGGAATGCTTTTTAAACGACTATTTGACCTATGGATTAAATCTAGGTTCAAACTTCTGTTGACATTATTTAAATCGAAATAAAGTATAATTTTATTCATAGCAGTTTTTGAAACTTCTTTAGCTTACATAAATAAGAAATTTCAAATTTCAAATTTTATTTTTTGGTAACATTTTCAAATACTATTTTTATTACATACGTACATAAGTTATTAATTATTTCAATAAATATTTTTTTAAACAAGTTATCAAACGAATGTACAAATGAAAAAAAAAATTTGCTCTAAAGGTGTCAAATGTTGTAACACATTCATTTAAGAATATTCTTTAGAATATTAATCCCCCATATGTTTAAAAAATCATCGTTTGAACCTCACCTATTAAATTAAAGATACTTATAAATAAATACAAACAGTTTATGATAAGAATAACTCTTTAGAAATGTTATTCAATTTAAGAATGTTGCAAACTTTTCTAATGTTTACGTTTTTTCAAAATTGTCATAGAGATTAATCAGTACTTTTACAGTTTTTAATTAGTCCGTTAACCAATAGCATTGAGTTGGCGTCAATTACTATATGCATATATAACAGTTCACTCCATTTTTTCAATAATTGTTTGCTGGTGGTTGATCAGGAAATATACATCTAAAACAATTGGCAAAGGTTTGTGTTTTAAATAAGATACAAGAATTTTTTTGCTACATATTTATACTTTTTTTTTTTTTTTCCTCTTTTTGTTATTTGTGTTTTTAATTAAATTTTAAGTTTACTCTTTTACGTGTTTCATAATTTAAAGATTTTTTGGGAAGCAAGATGACGTTTTGAAAAATACTTAGTTTTTGCAAAAAAAAAGTTGTCATCGGGTTACATAATCGGAGCTAGATAGATAAAAATGCGTTTTCTTGCCCTAGTTTTAGAAAATTTTATAAAAAGTAACTACTACTTTTCCAAAAGCAGTGCACAATAAACTCGTATAGCCATCCCTAAAAAAGTTCAATCATCAATTACCTATAACATTAACTGTAAAACCTCTTTTTCAGCATAACAAAATACTTATAAGTAATAAAACATGTTAACAATATTTAGAAAAAAAAATTGGAATTTAAAAATATATGCTACTCAGCCGGCACAATACGTCCGATAGACGTCTTACTGACATCCTACGGACGCGAGACGTTTGTTGGACGTCGTAAGGATGTTTTACGGACGTCTGCGCCTGCTGGGTACTTATAGAGTTTCCTCTACACCCATTTCTTAATCTTTATTGTTTAGTTGTATAATCTTTATTGTTTAGTTGTAGGATTGAGCAAGATAACAAATCTTGCCCGATTTGTTATCTTGCTTAATTCTACCTTACTCATTTTATGAACAAAAAATTAAAAAAATCTAAATCACCTTCGGCGTTTTATTATGAATTACAAAAAAATAATTAAATTTTTTTTTTAATTATTTAAAAAGTTTTTCAACCTGCCATCTGTTTGACTTTTTTGCAAAATACAACTCAAAATCAATTAGTTAATTTTAATTTTTTTTTTTTAATTGTAATTTCTAACTCGTAAATTTAATTATCTAAAATTTAAAAAGTTATGGTCTTTAACAAAGAAAGGTAATTTATCGTGAAATTTGTAATCCCTAATTAATATCTCTAATTAATAAATTAAGTGAAGTATTAACTTATTCATAACGCCAAAATTCTCACACTTCGTTTTTCACTGTAACGTGAGATGAGATGGGTCGAGGTAAAAGACTGTAAAAAAAAAATTTTTATTACTTTTTGCAACATTTAAGCTGTCACATAATAATTATCTTCGGTTTAAATAATTATAATTGGTGATAAATTTTTATCACCAATTATGATAAATATTTATTCATACAGGATGAAGTACTCATTTGGCTTCTTCCTAGTTTCCTTATTTACATTTTCAAAAGGTAATTTTTTGTATGTTAATTAATTTTTATTATAAAGTTCAATATTATTTTACCCTTATTCTTAATTTTACCATTTACTGTTTTCTAAATTATTCTTTATTTCTACTTTTAAATTTAGTTTATTATTTACTTAAAGTTATTGAAATATTCAAGTTTTTTGAGAGAGCGCAAAAAATACTAAGTAACATAACTTTAGTTATTTATTTCAACCAACTTTTTGGTCCGAAAGCCAAACATGCCAGAACCATTAGTTCTAACTTTTTTTGGTTAAAATCTTGAGGCTAGGTAGTGAATTGGTGTAGAACAAGTAAAGGTTTATATTGCTATTGATTGTGAAGTGAGGATAAGACTTAATGGATTAGCAAAATCCTAAGCAAAATAACCACTGTTCTTTATTTATTTATTTTGTTATTAAACAAAATAAATAAATAAAAACAAACAATATATGTTTATTGTACACAATAGTATAAATATATTTTGATACAAAAAAAGTTTATTTTATTGTGTAAAACGCAATAGTTAATATTTTTTAATTAAAGATATTTAGTGTTGTAAACTAAACTAAAATTTGTAGCTTTGTTCAAAAAAACATTTTGTCAACCGACTAAATTTTATGCATGCTAATATTAGTCGACTAACTTAATTGGGTTTAGTTTACTAATATATCAACTTTTTAGTTTGCGGATGTTAGTGACTAACAATTCGCACTATAAGTTTTAGTGAATTTAATCAGACTGCGAAATTTCAAATTTTGTTTTTGTTCGACTGCGAAAAAAAAACACTGAACGTGTTTTTTTTTTGCGGTCTGATTCTTGCAATTGCCTCGTCATAAAAAAGTGCCTTAGGTCATCCACAATTTACGTCACGCAATTATTGACCATTTTAGACCCCTCTCCCCCTTCGTCACAATACCACTAACCTCTCCCCCCCTCCCTAAAACAGTCCGGCTTTTTAGATATTTTAAGTTTTAGTTTTTTCATATGTTTTTTTTTATTTATTTACTTATATTTTCCATAATTATACTTTTATAGCTTTTCTTAAAACTGTATTATTTTTAATTTTTTTTGACGTTCGATCCTTCCATTAAAACGCCATTAAATTCTACTTATAACTCTGCGTATTTCATCTTAATACCCAATCATTCATCTAGCAAACAGTTTGACAGACAAAATTCATCTTAATAAAAGTTAAAACACAATTTGAAATTTAAACGGAATGAAATTGTGTTAATTTAAACGGAATGAAATTGAACTTCATTCCGTTTAAATTAACTGTTTAAATTGAATTTAACTCATAATTGCAAAATTATTTTGAGTTCTTTTGTTGAGATATAGAATGGCGTAAGAATTAAAAAACTTAAATAAGTATTGATCTCTTTTAATTAAAGCGTTTTTAACTCAGCACATTTTGAATTTTTCAGTTGTTGCTTACGCTCTTATAGCAACAACAGAACTTAAATTGAGTTGCAACTATTTTTTTAAAACTAAATTTAATTTCTACAAAGAGAAAATGCAAATTCTCAAGCACTGTGAAAATGTTTTCATGATTTGTTAAACGGCACAACGAGAATGAGACAAATTGTCTTACTTTACTAACATAAAGTCAGTAGGTACTTTGTTATACGTCGCTAACAAAGTTGCTACTGACTTAGATCGTTATGTTAATAACCATAAAAATCTAATCAAAGAGTCAGCGTCGTCGAATGAGTTGACGTCCTTTTTTCAATCTAAAACTCAAAGATATTGCTGAAAACCAACGCAGTGGTCATCTGCAATATTTTTAATGTTGTATAGGAATGTTTTATGTTATATAAGAATCTGTTAATGTTATATAAGAAAATGATATATTTCATTAAAAAATTTTCTATATAACATATACGGATATTGTACTTTGTTATTTATTCTCATCCAGAATAAGTACCGTAGCTAGAGCGTCGAACTGTGGCTTCCCCTCCCCCTATCACAATGAAGAACTCAGCGTAATTAAGAAGAGATCCAAAGGAAAATATAGCGTTGAGGCCCTTTCGTTTTCAAAAAATGCCGTTTTATTTTGTGTGGGTTTTGATTAGTTTAAAAAAAAATCACGAAGCTATATGAATCGCTAACTTGAAAAAAGGGACATGTTATGTGAATTTTTGCAGGAAATATCTCCTTTTTCAAGTTAGCGATTTATACATTGATATATATAAGCAGGGCCGGCGTAAGTAGGTGTCACCTGAGGGGGGGGGGGGGGGATGCCTTTACAACTATATATATATAAAATATATATATATATATATATATATATATATATATATATATATATATATATATATATACATATATATATATATATATATATATATATATATATATATATATATATATATAAACATATATATATATATATATAAACATATATATATATAATATAAACATATATTTATATATAAACATATATATATATATATATATATATATATATATATATATATATATATATATATATATATATGTATATATATATGTTTATATATATATATATATATATATATATATATATATATGTTTATATATATATATATATATATATATATATATATATATATATATATATATATATATATATATATATATATATATATATATATATATATATATATATATATATATATATATATATATATATATATATATATATATATATATATATATATATATATATATATATATGAGTTAGTCCATGAGAAAGTGGGACAAAATTTTGAGTTTTCTAACCCACCATCTCAGATTTTCTTTAGACTTCTTAAAAATGGTCGCCTATATAACATAAAATACCTTGCAAAATTTTAGCGCTGATATCAAAAGGGTTTTGGAGATATTAATAACAGTTTTTTTTGTGTGCAGGTTATGCTATTTTTAGCAATTTTTTTGTTCAATTTTACTATGGTTTTTGTTTTACAAGTTACTGTTCAACTATATATGCAATTAAACTGAAAAGCACCAGAATAGTTTCTAAGATGAGGAATCAGAATATAATATTTGTTTTCAATGAAAACATTTAGAACTTCACAATATGGGAAATAAAAAATTCATTATAAAGTAATATCGCATCTAAAAAATTAAATAAATACAAGTTTTAAATAAGAAACTAGTTTATAAAAAACCAGAACTTCTATCTGATTAATTCATAAATTGCTTATAAAAGAAAACTGATGTAGTATGACATAGTATGATTGATTTAATTTAAAGATTGGATTTCAGGCAAATCATCTGTGTCTATCTGGTATACGCATCATGTTCTTGAAGATGTTTTTTTATAATAATTAAATTATGGGGCTTGGGAACCCAAAAAATAGGTAAATGAGGATGCATGATTATTATAAAAGTTTCTTCATTTTTTTCGCCAATTTTAAATACCAAACCAACCCAGTTGAACATCATATTTGCAGATTTAATATTTTCTTGCAATGGTTTCTTGAAGATATTTAAGAGCCAGTTAGGTTGAATATGAAATTAAATTCCTTCTGCTCAGAGAATTTTTTGACATTTATGTTTGTTGCATCTTGTGGAATAAGTTAATGGAAATTTCTTGTACCAGGTAAAGTCTTTGCATTATTCAATCTGAGAGTCAAATATTTACGGACTGATAAAATATCTTTGCTTTTTTTTAAAAAAAAATGGATACAAAATATGTTAACTTTGGAAAAATTAAACATTTCTTCAGCGTTCTGAATTTGTAAGTCAATTGGACGTTAAAGAGTAACACATAAAACAAGTTTTTTAGCTGTTTCACCAATTCCATCACATGAGGACTTTCCATGTGATGTTGAAAAGAAACTCCATTCACATTGCATCCTAAAATATTCAGCATGATGACATAAATTTTAGAAATGTTTGTAATTTTTGTACTGGCCAGCACAACCATCAAAAAAACATTGGATTTTTGTGGTATTTGGAAACATTTCTTTAAAAAAATAGATGGTTCTTTTTACTATACAATAGATAAATCTAACATCATGTGTGAAGTCATCAAATATAAAACATAAAGACATTGATTGACTTTTAGTAGCACCAAGATCATGTTTGTTATAAATAACTTTAGGTTGCAGTTATTTATAACAAACGAAATCTAATGGCAACTCTGGATTTCGTCTTGTATGAACAATTTAAATTTTTTTGCAAAATCAACCTAAACAATAATTTCATTTATGGGTCGATGACTTTAATGTATTCAAATATTTACCATGTGCTTTAGCAATATAAGAGTGGGATATTATGCTATCAAGTTTTTCACTAAGACTAAATGAATTCGCCTACTGCAGATGTGTAACTTAAAAGCTCGGCTCTGTCTGTTGTACTCCACTGTTTGTATTCAAGTATTTCATCTTCATCAACTTTGTCATTCTTTTCAAATGATTCTTCATTTTACAATAGATTTGCAGTTATATAATTGATAATATTTTGAATTCCATCGGCAACAATTGCACCTATAGACCATGCATTCCTCTGACTCTGCTAAAAACAATCTTCTCAATAAGTTCATGGTAATTATCCAGTTTAACTGTGTAAAGTATACACCTTAGCTTTTAGTATATTTTACATATCCAAACAGAATGGGTTTCTTTTTAACCAGCATAAATACACCATTTTGGCTTAACTGAACTAGTTTATAAAATCCTATTTTGGACCAAGGGTGCTCTAGTCTGAATTCAATAAATAATTCCTTTAAATTGCAAAGAAGTAATCGCTTTGATACATGTTTATTTTTGGATACACTTACAAAATCTTTTATACCTGGCAAATGCTGACTTAACTGATCATTACAATAAAAGCTTTCCTCCTTATCAATTATATCTGGTTCAATTCTAACTATGTTAGTTATTAAAAAATGTTTTTTAAAAACTAACATAGTTAGAAAGTTTTCTTTCTTTAGCAATGGTTGATATATTAAATACTTCAGCTGATTTCCTTAAAGATCGTAAATCTGGAACCAATGTCAAAATCTGAATCTTTTCTCTTTGTTGTTTTCAGCTTTTCTTGCATTGAAAGTATCAATTTATCTAAATTTATCTGTTTATCTATTTTTATCTGTTGCATTAATATTGAGGATAACTGATAGCCTTTTTGACATAAAATTAGTAGCTTGGATTAATTTTCTTTTATCTAGAGAAATTTTTGTATGTTGTGGAAATTTTACTGGTGGAAATTTTACCCCATAAAGTTTTACTGGTGATACATCTAATTTATCAAAACTGGTGCTTATAAGTTCTTTTTTTTGTCAACTTCTATATCTTCATCAAAAAATGTTTGTTTCAGAAAATCTACTTCACCATTGTGGTCCTGTAAGGCAGACCAATCACCATTGTGGTCCTGTAAGGCAGACCAATCATCTATTTTTATATACCACTTCTTTTTGACATGATAGACACATTTTAAAACAAGGCCTTGTTTCAATACCATTTGAACACATATCTTTTACCAGTTGAATGTTTCACAAATTACATATAAATATATTATTAATGAAAAAAATTTGCCAAAATTAGGAAATAATAATTTAGATAATTTAATAATTTTATAAATAAAAAATAAAAAATTCTAAAACTAGTTAAAAGTGTACTAAATATATTTTTTGTGAAAAAACAGCACAATAAGACATTGATCGTTTGATAAAATACTAACTCTACACAAAATCTTGCTCATTTTATTTTCTAAATTTTTTTATTCAACTATAAATAAATACTAAATGCACAGAATACATTTGTTTAACATGGAGAAAACTTTTTATTATTAATAGTTGATTAACTACTGAGAAAGAACTGGTAAAACATCAGACTAATATTAAATCGTAGCATTTTAATATTGAGTGTTTCTTCTGTTTTAGTAAAAAATGACCTGAAAACAATATGTCATTAATAAGGGAGTAAAAATTTATTTAAAAAAGAAATATTTATTTGAATTAAAACTTTGAATAATATTAGTTAAATGAGTTTTCTTTTGTATAATTTTTGATGACTAATGAAAATTGTCAATGTCATTTAATTAAAAAAAAAATCATAAACACGTACCTACAATATTTAATTTTTCTCATATTCCTATATTTTTACAACAAATATCAAAAAAACCTCAATTTTGCACTAAAACACTATTTAAAATATCTAGTTAAATAAAAACAAAAAAAATTCACAAACAATGAATGCTACCTTGGTTACCGAGCCTCTGTTCTGTCTTTGTTTTTCATTGAAAACAAATATTGTATTTTAATTCCTTGACTTAAAAACTATACTGGTTCTAATTTTCAGCTAAATCACATGTATAGTTGAACAGTAACTTGTAAAACAAAAACTATAGTAAAATCAAATTGCTGCCAAAAAAAAAAGAGCCTGCTTAAAATAGCTGATTTTAAAGTAACAATATCTCCAAAACCCATTTAATATTAGTGCTAAAATTTTGCAAAGTAATCTATGTTATAAAAGTGACCATTTTTACAAAGTATAAAGAAATTTAGAGATGGAGGGTTACATGCCTGTTCCACTTCCTCATGGAATACCTAATAATATATATATATATATATATATATATATATATATATATATATATATATATATATATATATATATATATATATATATATATATATATATATATATATATATATATATATATATATATATATATATATATATATATATATATACATAACATTAGAAATTGGATTTTACATCTGGCCTAGTAATGCAAGTCTAGATTAACCCTAAACTCTCACATGCCCATTACAAATATTTTGTGCTTAGAAGTTGCAGTTGACTTCAGAATTATGATTTTGTAATGTCCTTTATTAGGTTTTTAGAGCTGAGTTTTTTTAAAAGCCAAGCCTTTTATAAGATTTTAATTTAAATTTAAGGTTCAATATGTCTAAAAGAGAGTTTAACTTTAAATTACAAGGAAACTTAGTTTGCATACTTTATAAAATGCCTGTTAGTAAGCAGAGTTGTTGACAAAAGTAATAAGGCCAAGGCCACATGTTACAAGGTTAAGGCAAAGACCAAAGGTAAAATGTTTTTTTGGCCAAGTACAAGACCAAGGTCACTCCCAAGAATAAGGGAGACCAACCCCTACGGTAACTTTTTCAAGATCTAAGACTTAAGACGCTCAACAGAAGCTTTCTAATTTTTAAATATTGTTTAATTGTGTACAGTTTATTTTAAAGAAAATTATCAAGTTAAACTTTGTTCAAAAAAGGATTTTATAAAAAAAATTATTAAAAAACTATTAAATGGACATTACTAACAGCTTTTTAAAACAGATTAAGATAAATTGAATAAAAATAGTATAAATAAATAAAACAATACTTTATAATAAATATTGATTTAAATTTATTATTTATTAAAAATCATTTTATTTTAATTCAAAACTCTTATTGTAAAAACCTTTAAAATTCTGTTTTTAATTTTAAGATTCATAAATATCATGTGTTTAAATCTTTTTTAAATTTTAAAATGTTTTAACTCATAAAAAATGTATATCATGTGACTTAATATAAAGATGTAATAAATTCCCAATAACTAATCCGTCATTGATTATTGCTTTAAAATGGCTAGTCAAATTCAGCAATTTAAACTGTGATATAAAACACAAAATTAAATTCTAAAGCTTTTAAGTAAACAAAAATAACTCTTGTAAACAAAGTCAACTGTAATCTTAAAGAAAAAGTGGAAGGTCAAGGCCAAGACCAAGGCCAACAGTTTCAAAGCTGAGACCAAGGTCAAGGCCTTTATTTTTGGTCTTAAGGTAAGGCCAAGGGCTAACAACTCTGTTAGTAAGATTCCTTTTTATGTGGATGAATGCAGTACAAAAGCTAATTAAAATTCAGGTTTTGTGCAACATTCTCCTACATAAATAAAAGAACTTTGGTCAGCATTCCTTAAAAGTTACTATTTTAGGCCTGAAATAAATATATTAGTTGTTTAAACTCATAATATTATAAAAAGTTAACAATGTTATTATTATTGGTTATCTATAATGAGAATTTTATAGCTTAAGTCTTAAATGGGTCGGCATTGTGACATCAAGTATATGATTATTTATAATGACTTATTATTTATTAAAAGTTATTAAGCATTGTTATTAAATAAATTCTTTAAAAAATAGTCTATTAAAGGATGCATTAAATTTTTATTTAACTATATCTTTTTTAAAGCGCAAATACTTACTCAATGGACACCATTTAGTGATTGCTCAGCAACATGCAACACAGGTAATTCAATACGCACACGAACAAGATCATGCACACCTGCAAATCTATGCCAAGGAATTTCTCTATTTGATACTACTTCCTGTAATGTGGAATACAGTTGTCCAGGTATTGAAGAATTAGAAATTTATAAATGATAAAATCTAGTTACATACCATACCCAGTGGCTAAAAGACATGTTTAAGGCATTCAAAAAACATATCAAAACATGTTAACATGTTTAATTGACAATTAAAACATGTCTTATGCCTACTGGATAATTAATACAATAGTTATTATTAGTTGTTATTGTGTTGGGAGGTTTTATTGTATATATTGTATATAAGACTTGGTCTTTATCTTTTTTTTATCTGGGTTTTTTGATAGTTTTGTTCTATTGACTTATTAAATTAAAATTTTTTTTTTCAACTCTTTATGTATGTGTAATAATGTTAATAAATAGACTTAATAACATTGTTAAAAACATATACTTTAATATAAAAATAATAATACACTGCATTTAATCTTTAGATTATAGACTTGGTGATTGGGGTACATGGAGTTCTTGCTCAGAATCATGCAGAGCAACTCAATCGAATCCAACTCGTGTTCGAACTCGTTCTTACTGTCTTAGTAATTCAACATCTGCATATCAATGCACTTCTAATTTCATGGTTAGTTATGAACCATGTAACACTGTTGCTTGTTCCACAGGTAGTGTTAAAATAAATACACACACATATATATATATATATATATATATATATATATATATATATATATATATATATATATATATATATATATACATATATATATATATATATATATATATTAAGTATATTTATAAATAATAATTGAAGCTGTGTTTTTGAGAGTCTCAAAAAAAAATTAGCGAGTGTAGACATTAGATTATAACATTTATTTTGTATTAAATTTGCTTAAAATTAATTACTGATGTGAGATTGACTTCATTATCTAATTGATTGCAGTTTTTAACTGTACAGTTTGGTAAAAAATAATACATTGGTCACCATTCAAAGTTGGTGCTTCATGTTACTAGAACATAGTGCCAATTAATAATGTCATTTTTGCTTTACTTTGTACATTTGAATAAGATTGTCTTTTCTCCTTCATTTTGATAGATTTAATCTTTTTTCTTTGTATTTGTCTACAACTGTTTCCCTATTGAAAATCAAATTTTGTTTTTAAGATTGTCTTTAATAAAGTATCTGTTTGAAAAGCATTTTCCAAGTGCGGCTGAAATTTCCTTATAAATTTTTACCTTTGTTTTTATCATGATCTTTACAAGTTTTATAACTAACTTATTTTTTATTTATATTCTTCTTTTAGACCTAAATTTTTAAAATAAGAAGCTTGCAAATAAATATGTCGATATCAAAGATTACGTTTATGTCAAATTTTGCATTTGACTTTTCTTTACTATTTCATAAGGATCTTCTGCAATAATACTTTTGTTTTAACAATTATTATGATATTAATTAATTAATAATACTTTAAAACTTAAAACATGTTGATCTCTATTTGTATATTCTTAGGGGTTCATATATATACTAAATTTTAGTATTTTTGTTAATTCTGTGTCATTTAGTTAAACTTATTTTTTTACATGTTACATTAATGAACATATTCCAGAAATGCTTATTTTCTTTCTTTGTTCAATGTTTAAATACATTCTAGAAACGTTCTAGAAACCTTCTCTTTCACGCTTTTTGTTCAAATGACACTTTCATTTACAACTACAATTCTATTTACTATTTAAGGTTGGAAAATTAAAATCACCACATTTCAAAACTCTATTTTAGTCTTTAAAAAATTTTTTTTAAGACTAAAACTTCTTTGATTAAATGTCAAAATTATATTTTGACAGTTAATCAAATTATTACTGCCCAGTCTATAAATACAACCAAATGATATGCAATCATTGTTATTTTTAGTTGCACATCATATCTACTTAACATTTTTGTTATTGGAATTTTAAATATTGACTTTAAGTAAATCGATTTTGTCATTTAAATAGATACAGACTCCTTAAATTTTTTTGTGGTCTCTGTATAAATGTGGTAGTGGTATTTTGGGAAGAGCCCTTGCCTTGTTAATGAGAGGTTCCGGGTCCGATCCCCAGCATGTCTCTGGTAGCACTGCGCTCATCTTGTTTCTGTGCGCAGTGGCCTTCAATTCTTCAAGATTCATGTTTCAGAGTTTTACAATTAAAAGAAGGTTGTAACCGCAGCTAAATTAGCCTCCTCAACTGCAGTAAAAACATAAAAAAATATTATAAACATAAAAAAAAAATTATAATTCTTTTAAATTTTAGTTTTTTTTGTTGTTAAATGTTAGTTTATAATTTTTTATTACAAATAATTTTTAAATGTTTAATGGATTGGTATTTAAATTTAACTTTTTTTGGTTTAGTTAAGTCATGCAACCATGTAAACTTTACATTTGTCTTTGTGTTGGATAGTTCATCCAGTGTTGAAGATCAAGAATGGATGGATGAAAAAGGTTTGGTTTTAAGTTTTGTCAAAAGCTCAGCATTTGGAGTGAATCCAAATGTTGATGTAGCTGTGGTAAACTATGGTAGTACTGCTCAAGTAGAGGCTGATTGTGGTACATTTAAAAGCTACTCAACTTTTGAAACTTTCATGAACA